TTTACCCTACCCAGTTCCGAAGCAGTTCGGTCCCAAGTACGTCCAGATCGCGACAGACCTCGAGTTCCATTGTTCCATGCTTCCCGTCCGCGGCGCACGGGCACGTCGCTCTTGCGAAGGGACAGCAGCAGGTGATGCGCAGAACCCAGCGAGACGTGGGCTGACCTCGAACCCAGGTACCACTACAAGCCCAGCGTTGCTGGCCTGAACTTCACCCAGCTCTCCCGAATGTGAGTCCTGACTTTTCCTTCGAATTGCAACGCTCGAATTGCTGCCTACCTGGATGCGGGCTGCTCGCGAGCCTGTTGGCAGACCGACGACACTACGCGACAAGCAGCGACAATCGAGCCTAGCTTTTCGATTCCCTCGACAATCCGGCATAATGCTGACATATATGCAGTGGTGTCAAGCTCGGTGCTTTCGGCGGTGTCGCTCTTTTCGGCGTCATCTTCATTGCCTCCAACGTCCCCAGGCTACGCAGGGACGTTCTCCAGGTGCGTCGCGCTCCCTTTGATCCATCTAGCATTTACGAGGTCTAACATGTTCGCAGAACGTTCCTGTCCTCGGTGGTCTCTTCGTCAAGGAGCCCCTCCCCGCCTCCGACAACGTACGTATTTCGTTTTTCCACATCTGCTGATCCTCGTTGCTAACCACGGGCAGCCTTTCTAAATGTACCACCCACCGACACTGGGCGATGGACGGGATTCGGAGAGCGAGATGCCAAGAGGGAATGCCTTGGTCAAGGCAGTTGTACAACTCTCTGGTTGAATAGATTCTAGACCATTTTGCGATCCGCCTGCTGTGATGCTGTGAAGGGTGTGCCTCGATCCAGTGTCTTGCTTGTGCTCACACCTGGAAGCGTCATAGCTGCAGACCATTTTCACCGTGCTGTTACTTTTTTTTTTACTGTTTGTGAGAAGACTTTCATCACACAGCAACTTGTAGACTGTTCAGGCCCGTCTCTGTTCGAAACGGCGTCCAGTTGATACAAATACAGTGCCGATTTGCCCATAAACGTGCTCACGGTGGATGCTCGCACGGTGACCAAATGAGCATCGCTGGCACCTCGCTCAAGCGCAAAGCTCAAGGTTAGCATCACCAACAGCTGCATCAAGCCGGCACACCCTCTTTCCTTGCGTTATTTCTCATGAGCCACCTCTCGTCCTTCCTTCCTCGGCTCGCTTTGTTGCTTTGACGGTCTTTATAGTGCCCCGCTTGGAAACCACCACATCTACCCTGCTAATCGCGTATGCCCATACTTGCGTATACCTTCACACACGTATCTTTCGTCGCATCTCTGTTACATGCGTACCACGTATTGGAACTATTTATAACCTTCATCTGCATCGGGTCCAAATTCTCTTTCTCTTCCACCACACGCGCGCACCAGGACGAAAGAAGAGCCTGCGTGTCCATCAGCTACCTCCGCAATGACTGTCACCGAGATCCTCGGCTCGACGTCTTTGGTGGCGGCCACCATCCTGTGGCTCCTGTTTGGCAGGAAGTTTAACACAGTTCAGTCGTCGGCTACGAGCGTTATGGCTGCCGGGCTTATGGTCTACGGATGTGCCTCCATGTGGCTCAACCTCGTCAACGCATTCGTCCCGGACCCTTACCTGGTGAGGACAACTGTAAGGCCCCTCGGCAAGAGGTCATAGACTGACATGGATCAGGACGAGTTCTTTCATATCCCGCAGGCGCAGGTCTATTGCAAGAACAAATTCGCCGAATGGGACGATAAGATAACAACTCTCCCGGCTTGTAAGTTCCGTTCGTCTGATAATCATCAGGGCTGCCCCTGACCATCCTAGATACCTCTTGTCGAGGTTCCTCATCTCCTTGGGCGCCCTCATCACCCGAAACACTGTGGAGGAGGCTTGCAAAGCAGGAGACTTGCGCCTCCACAACGCCTTTGCATTGTTCGGCGTCGTCTTCTGCGCCGTCTACTGCCGGCATCACATAGAAGCCCAACACCGGGCCATCAGCGGCCGGCAACCTCTCCAGTCCGTATCGACTTATTCTCTCATGACTGGTGTCAACATTTCGTTATTTCCCGTCCTCTTCTTCTTCTCGGGCCTCTATTACACCGATGTGGTGTCCACGCTCGTCGTCCTCGTCGCCTACGTTAACCATCTGAACCGCGTTGGCCGACCAGCCAACGGAGTGCTCAACGACATATATACAATCACTCTGGGAGTCTCAGCTTTGAGTCTTAGGCAAACCAACATCTTCTGGGTGGTCGTGTATATGGGTGGTCTCGAGGCTGTGCATGCCGTCCGACTGCTCAAACCAAAGGTCGAAGACCAACGGTGCATGTTCAAGCTTACCGAATACCTTGAACATTTTACCCGGCGATCCTCTCTTGGCGACATTCACGATCTCCCGCTGAACCTTGCGTGGCCGCATAGTGAGTCTCAATGCCCTCACACAAATCTGCCGTCTGCTGACTTACAGACCTGTGCTTCTCTGCACTGAGCATCGGCGTTGCGGTCGTATGCAACCCCATGCAAGTCTTGCAATGGGTGTGGCCTCATGTATCCATCATGGCCTGTTCTTATCCTTCATTGCGTGGAACGGCGGCGTCGTTCTTGGTGAGCCGTGCCGTTTTGGTAATATAATTCCTATCAATGTCGTCTCTAACCTGTCTCAGGTGATAAATCCAATCATATCGCGACGATACATCTCCCGCAGATGCTCTATATCTGGCCCTTCTTGCCTTCTTCTCTGCCCCCTCTTCTCCTCGTCTCGCG